CAGGAATCTTGTTACACAGGTAACATCTGAGATGGGGAGAAGGTGGAATGTCCACCTTACACCAATAACATACTGTTTGGAAGAGGCCTCCAAGTGAGAAAATATGCCCAAGGATGTGAAAAAATACAGAATTAAAGACTAAAGGGTTATGTGGGTGGGAAGAGGTCACTAGAAGAGCATCCAAAGGGGAGGTTCTGTGGAGTGATGAGGCCACATTCTGTTGAGTGCACGTGTGAATGTGGAGCAGCAAGTCCCACTATTGTGTATCATTATAATACAATAATTCAAAAGGAGGAGAGGCCATCTAAGGAGGAGGCCCTGGAGGAGACCCTGAGACTCACCCGTGGCCTCATCCTGCAGGCCCTTCTGTGGTGGGCTTGGTCTCCACCCCAGGGATGGCCAAGCTGCTGGACGAGGCTCCCCTGGTCCTGGAGCCTGAGAAGCAGGTGGCTCCCCATGGGACACACAAGGACTTGCTGCCCACAGTCTCATCTGTCCTGCTCTCAGATGTCATCTCAGCCTTTTTGAGCAGCAACGACACCACGAACCTCAGCTCATCAGTTACCTTCACCTTCTCCCATCCTGTGAGTGGTGGGGGGCAGACCATGGTGTGGGAAGAGCCCCAGGCCCAGGCACACCCTCGTTGTCCTCTTAACCTTGAGGTTCAGCAGGACTCCCCACAGGTGCACCCCACACAGGAAAGCCAGCCCTTCCTGGGTCAGCATCTCTGAGAGCAGGAAGACCAGCTCACATCCCTGTCCTGTTACTACAGCCAGTGACCCTTGCACCAAGGCACAAGGTGCTCTGTGTCTTCTGGGACCACAGCCAGAATGGGAGTCACTGGACCACTGCAGGCTGCAGGACAGTGAGCACTGGAGGTGGCAGAACCACCTGCCACTGTACCCACCTCAGCAGCTTTGCTGTCCTCATGGTCCACTACAATGTGCAGGTGAGAGGCTGCCTTCAGCATTGATTGGTACAAAACACACTTATGCAGATGTTGCTGCTGATGTAAAACAAATTTGTTCACTCGAAGTTTCTGTGGGTTAGCAACCCAGCACAGGGAGATGAGTTCCTTGTACAGGTTCTAAAAGACTGACAAGATCACTTCAGCCAGGCCGCACTCACTTCTGGGTCTTGCAGCCCTCCTCCAGCTCCCTGGTTGCAGGCAGAGTTTAGTTCCCTTCTCTTAGCAGCTGTCAGGGGGGACCACACTCAGTTCCTAAGAGCCACCCACAGTTCCTCTCCTATGACTCCTGGTTGGCCTTCTCACAAAATATCAGTGTTCCTATCTGAAAACCAGCATGAAAATGTGCATTGTATGGAAACCCTCTCAAGTTTTGAATCTGCTTTCCCAGGAAGAGTCCAGATCTTTAAAGCAATCACCTGATCAGACCAGATCCAGGAGAATAAACACCCTAATCTAAAAATCAACATATGGAGCCCTAAATTCCACCTGCAAATCCCTCTACAGCAACACCTAGTTTATCAGAGAATTTAATAATTAGAAGAAGGTTTGTGTAACAGCAGGACGTGGGCATATGAAGACCAAGTTAGAATTCTACTTACCACCAGGGTCTGTAAGTCAACCGTGGTCGGGGTTTCAGGTTTACAAAAAAGGAAGGTCTAGTGAGGGTGGAAGTCAAAGGGGGTCAGGGGAGTCAGAGAGGATGGCTGGACCAGGGGCTGTTTACCTCCTCCTCTAGCCAGGTGAGTGGACACTTCTGCTTCCCCAGGTTCAGACTCTCAGGTGAGCCCACTTATGGGCATTTACTGTGAGCACCCTGTGACTATGAGCATGACAAAGATCTCAGCCAAGAGCTTTTAATATATTATTGAAGTTAGATTTTGTCTTTATATCAGAAGTTCTCAAAATTCAGCACATGTTAATATCACTTGGAGGACCGTTTATTTTTAAGTGCTTTCTTAGGAAACAATTTCTATTTTTTAGATACATTTCAAGAACAAAAATAGAATAAATAGATCAGATACTTGGTTAAAGGAAGAAAGTTAATGATGATAGTAACTTTAAATTTACACTTTCCCACCTATTTCTCCAAGTCCTCTTAAAACCATGAGAAAATGAAAAGAAAACCGACCACCCCATTACTCTTTACCCAGAGGCATCTATTTTGAAAGTTTTACCTCTGTTTCATTTATCAGGTGTCATTCTTTCCCTCTGCTCCTCCCCTGTCCTGCCTCCTAATTTCCCAATTTTGTCTTTACATCAGGGTCTCAAATGTAGCATGAACAAATGTCACCTGCAGGGTTTGAACTTTGTTTTCAAACATTTTCTTGGGAAACCATTTCAAATTGACAGATATGTTGCAAAAACAAAATTCACACAAACAACAACTGAGTGCACTTGATCCAGATGCACCTGCTTTGAAATTTTACCTTCATTATTTACCATTTGAACATTTCCCCTCCCTCTTTCCTCTTCTCTCCTCTTCCCCTCAATTACATTGAAATAGAATTGATGGTGGGCTTTTAAATGTCCTTACGGCTTTAAGATGACATTCAGAAAGAAAAGGGGGAAAGGTGAATTTTAAGCTACTGTTATCATTCATTTTATTTTTTTAACCAAGTACCTAATTCTAACTTCAGAGGGACTTGTGGCCAGTAAGGAACAGGCACAGCTGGATTGAGGCCAGTTAATGCCTGGACACTGAGGTTCAGGTCCTGCCCTGTGGCCTCATGGAACAAGGACAGAGGAACCCTCAGCAAGGGCTTCACACACACTCACTTACATATCACTTACGTGCCTTACTGTGCCCCAAAGTCAGGAATCGCGGGTCTCCTCCTTGAGTTATGACTCTACACATCCGGGCCCTTCTAGCCGCTTACCTGCTCCAATCAGAAAACCTAACAGTCCAACCTTCTGAACCTGGAGCCCCTCCCCCATCAGCTTCACACCTAGACCTGGTCCCTCCATTCCTGAATCTGCTGCACCAAATGACACAGATAGCAGAGGGTCCCCCACCCCAGAGCAGGGCACGTGGCTGTGAAGGCTCCTCCCTCTGCCCCAGGACGACGACCCCGTGCTGAGCCTCATCACCTGCGTGGGGCTGGGCGTGTCGCTGCTGTGCCTGGTCCTGGCCGCCCTCACCTTCCTCCTGTGCAGAGCCATCCAGAACACCAGCACCTCCCTGCACCTGCAGCTCTCGCTCTGCCTCCTGCTGGCCCACCTGCTGTTCCTCACGGCCATCGACAGAACCCAGCCCAAGGTACCCAGGTGTCCCCACCCCGCCCGCCCAGGGGTGCTGTACTCAGGAGCCAGGCTGCCGGGGCTTCTAATCAAACAGCCTGGGTTCCGGGAATGTCCAGAGGAGGTCGATGCCCATTTCACGTTGACAGATTCAACGAGAAATCGAACCCTCTTGACAACTCCATCGCCTACATCTCGTGTTGCTTAGCAACAGGGCTTGCATCCTGGGGGAGTTCCTTCATTAAGGGACCAGTAGGGTGAACTGATGCAAACTCTAGATGGCATCTGTCAATCACCGGAAGTGGCCTCCTAATTCAATGGAGGCAACTGGGCTGGAGTCACGTGGCACCCCGTTTTACAGCAGACATTTTTTTACAAGGAGAAAAAGGAGCTTCTACTGAATTTTTAATTTGGTTAATTGAGTCCTTCATTTTCAGAATTTCTATTTGGTTCATTTTTAGAATCTGGCTTTAGTGAAACGAACTTCCATTTCCTGTATCTTCTCCAGTTTCATCCCTTACATCTTCTTTTAGCTCGTTCAACATTTTAACTAGGAGCTTTCTAAATTCTTCCCCCAAATTTCCTCTGCTGTCATGCCTACAGAGTCAGTTGTTGGAGTGCTGTGGGCTGTGTGGTTTGCTCCCTTGCTCTTTCCTGCTGATTGTAGGTCTGCCCACCTTCTGGGTTGATTATCTTCTCTGCTTTGATTCAAAGAATTACTTAATGAGCTTCTGTCTCTTAAGAGCCCAGGGATGGGAGAATATTCAGCTACTGATATTGTCATTCAATGTGCGCCCTCAGCTGTTCCCAGGATCAGCACCATTTGGAGAGAATATACTAAACCCTGTGAACTACAGTCACTTCTAAAATAATGTGAAAAGCGTTGTGTAGTAAATGCATAAGCTGCCACATGATCATTGGTTGCCATTTGTAAGTAGTAGGTCCTGCCCATCCTTGTGTGGCCCTGCTGTTCCCGAAAGGGCAGCACAGTGGGTTTGTTCACAAGAGCATAGCCACTACTGCATGAGGAACTCCATAGGGCAGCAATGGGAGGTTGTGATGTCACCACTACTGCATGAGGAACTCCACAGGGCAGCGATGAGAGGCTGTGACATCACTGGGCAGCAGGCCCTTTCCAGTTCTGCTGTGATCTATGGGAGCACAAACGCAGCCCATGGCTGAAGCAACACAGTGCAGAGCCTGGTGCACAGCAGAATCCCCCACCACAGGGCTCAGGGTGCTTCCCGGGCCACGCCCAAACCCTGACTGCTGCCCCGGGTCTCTCTCCTCCCCAGGTGCTCTGTGCGGTCACCGCGGGCGCCCTGCACTACCTCTACCTGGCCTCCTTCACCTGGATGTTGCTGGAGGGGCTGTTTCTCTTCCTCACCGCTAGGAACCTGACTGTGCTCAGTTCCTCCAGCAGAAACAGGCTCGTGAAGAGGCTCATGTTCCCTGTGGGCTACGGGGTCCCGGCCGCCATCGTGGCCGTGTCTGCAGCAACCAGACCTCACCTGTATGGCACCCCTGCTCGGTAAATGCGGACCCACTTGTCCTTCTCCTCTTGAGCATGTCCACGGCCAACACTTGAACCAAAGTAGCCTTTTGAGTATTTCAGAGCTTAAGCAGTAGAGTATACTGTGACATATCACACACACAGGGAGTCTGGCTTGCCATTCTTGTGGTTGTTCGTGGTGTGGAGTGACACTGGTCATGGATTCCTACATGAACACAGCAAAGTGATGTTGTTCTCTCTCTTGCTCAGATGCTGGCTCCACACAGAAAAGGGGTTTATATGGGGCTTCCTAGGACCCGCCTGTGCCATCTCTTCTGTGAGTAATATCATCAGAGTTCCTTGCTATCCATCTGAGGGTTACTACAAGAGCAGGATTATAAGGATGGTGACAGAACAGGATTATCCCTGGATTGTTATGGGTTGCATTGGGTTTTCCAAGACTTTTACATCTACAAATTCTAACACTATTGTCAAATACTAAAACCCACTCCAGTGTAGAATTGATGCTGCAAGGACTAGAATGGAGAGATAACAGATTTAAATTTTTATTCAATAAAAGTTTGCTGTGGGGGATGGGATTGTAGCCCTAGGGCAGAGAGCTTGCCTGGCATGCACTAGGGTCTGGGTTCCCATCCCAGAAATGCAAAAGAGAAAAGAAGATATTCATAAACTTCTGCGGTATCTTTTGGGGGGTTCTTTTTAGTTATACATAACAGTAGAATCCATTCTGATATAATTACACAAGCATGGAATATACCTTATCTAGTTAGGAGCACATTCTTGTGAATGTACATGATTGTGGGATTCTCTGTGATGTTGTCATATATGTACACAGGAAAATTATGTCAGATTCATGCTGCTGCCTTTCCTTTACTTTTGTGGTTTTTTGAAGGTCAATATGGTTTTCTTCCTGATGACCCTCTGGATTGTGAAGAGCAAGCTGTCCTCCATCAACAGAGATGTATCTACCCTCCAGAACACGAGGTGAGATGGACCAGGGGACATAGATGACAATGATGCCCAAGAGCAGAGCCATGTGCCTGAACAGCCCCTCATGTCCCTCCTCTGGGGCTTCTGAGTGGCCCACAATTAACAAATGCAGATGCGCTTCTATGGCTACCATCTCAGACTCAGGGCTCTGCTGCTTACTCCAGTTCAATCCTCCAGGGGGTGGGGTTGTTCCTTCACTCAGCATCTTGTGTAAAATCCATGCTCTTTCTTCTGGGTTCCTCTGAATAACCTTTCAAATTTTTGCATATCATCATTTTGTTGTATTAGACACTTGAACAGAGCCTATGATTAATGAAAACAGAAATTTTGCCCTGTGTTTGTTTTCTGAGATACAATCTCACTATGTTTCCCAGGCTGGCCTCCAATTCCTGGGTTCAACCAATCCTCTTGCTTAGCCTCCTGAGTAGCTGGGGCTACAGGTGTGCACCCCTGCCCCCAGCTTCCCTTTGTGATTTTTTATGTCCAAGCCCTAGCACGGGGCATCCTTAGTCATGCTAGATTAATGAAATTAGGAATCTTCATGGAAAATCATAAAACTCTTTGAAGTAAGCTTATGAATTATCATTGTCCTGGGTCAAAGTCAAAAAGCTATCCTGGACCCAAAATGGCATTTCAACTGTGGGGTATCATTGAGAGTAAATATCAGAGTTCACCCAAGAAATCGCTTACAGGGGAGAGTAGGTGCATCCATGGGTGGAGAGGAGAATAGCCTGATTTTGTTGAGAGTGTATTATAAGCCTCCATTCTCCCCCAACCTAGGGTGCTGACATTTAAAGCAATGGCTCATCTCTTCATCTTGGGCTGCACCTGGTGTCTGGGTGTCCTGCAGGTGGGCTCCCTGGGCCCCGTCATGGCCTACCTCTTCACCATCATCAACAGCCTGCAGGGCGTCTTCATCTTCCTGGTGTACTGCCTCCTCAGTCAGCAGGTACCCCTGCCCAGCTCCCACCCATGCCTCCCCACCCGCACCCACCTCTGTGAGCTAACCCAGAGTGTGGATTGCCTCTGCAGGTCCAGGAGCAGTACAGGACATGGCTCAAGAGGATCAGGAAATGGACAACTGAATCTGAGTCCTATACTCTCTCTACCAAGGTTGTGTCTGATGCCTCCAGACCCAGCACGGTAAGGTCACTTCCTGCTCCCAAAGCTCATGTTTCCTGGTATTGGCAGGATTTTTCTCCTCCTGTACACAGACCATGCTTCCCCTGCCTCCTGGACTCCACACCAATTACATAGGTTGGGTTTCTCTCTCATGGAGCTGTCAAAATCTGCCTCTGGTTGTAGATAACTGAATAGATTCACCACCCCCTCCCTCCACCACAGCCCTAGGAATGATATACACATTGAGGAAAAGAAATGTCAACTTTTTGTCTAGAAAATAGGAAGCCATCAGATAGTGAAATTCAGGTGTTTCTACCATCCTGGGCACTGGACCGCTGTGTTGGTTCCCTGATGTCATTTTATCTTCCAGTGACTCCTTAAACTGGGAGTCTCCAGGAGTTGAGTTGTTGGAGTATCTTCCTCTAATTTCGGAATCCCTCCCTTGGATCATTTAGTAAAAACAAAACATTTGACTTGTAATCAGTTCTGAATAATTTTCTGAAGCACACCATTCATAAAGCTCAAGTGAGGTTGTCCACTAAAACACTAGAAGTGTGCTGAGCGTTTTTTTTTTTTTTTTTTGGCAGAGAGGTATCAGGGATTGAACTCAGGGTCTCAACCACTGACCGACATCCCACCCCCACACTGTATTTTATTTAGAGACAGGGTCTCACTGAGTTGCTTAGCGCCTCACTGTTGCTGAGAATGGCTTTGAGCTCATGGTCCTCCTGCCTCAGCCTCTCAAGCTACTGGGATTACAGGCATGGACCATCATACCTAGTTCAGATCCATCTTTTGAAAGATATATTTTTGTGTGTTTTTGAGCACATTCACCTGCTCTAATCTTTTGTAACTTAAGGGTTAGGAAATGTAGGAAGATGAGACTTCTGAGAAAGACCAAAATCAGCAAAATTACATCCAATGTAGTTTGTTGATCAAGCCCTGAGAAATCCATTAGGCAAGACAATTTTGTGATTGAAATCTTCCTTTGAAGTGTGTGTGTGTGTGTGTGTGTGTGTGTGTGTGTGTGTGTGAGAGAGAGAGAGAGAGAGAGAGAGAGAGAGAGAGATTAAACCCCATAAACATATATGATTATTTTTTGCTGACTAAACATTTCAAAAACTAGGGAGCAAGATGGTGGCTAAGATATGCCTGTGGTCATCCCCCAGGCACACCAAATTTAATAGATATAATTTTAAAATTCCCTGTGTATATTTGAGGTGTGCCACATGAATATAGGACACATACAGAAAATATAATGGTTACTGTAATAAGGCAAATTAACTTATCCACCATCTCATATTCCTTTTTTTTAAACCAAGCAACTAAAATCTATTTATATAGCAAATTTCTTCTTTCCTTTTATAAATGGAACTTGTAACTTACTTTTCTACAAACTTCTATGTCATTTTTAAATAATTATCATTCCAGACTGATTAAAAAGACCATCTGAGCTACAGCCTCCTTCCCCATGGAAAATCTGAACCTCCAATGGGTTACTTTTTAGCCATTAGGAAAGGACAAAGACTCTGTGCTGTGTGTTTCAAGAAATTCATGGTGTTGGCCATGTGAAGGGATTCTTGGAGGACATGATCAACATTCAACTCTTGCAGAACCTGAAATCTGTCCATGCCCAACATGGTGCTGAGCAAACTCAACATCCAGATGCCATCTGCAGCCCAATTCCTCAGTTTCTCTGTTAAATGTTCTTCTACTGCCCCCCTTCCTATGAGACCTCTTCAATGCAAAAATTCTAGAAGCAAGAAAACCAGCCTCCCAGGATGCTCACATCCACAGCATTTAAAAGGACTTGAATGTGCTTTAAATTTTTAACAAAAAAAGGAAGAAAAGAAAACATAAAAGGTTTGTATGGAAATATTATGGTGTCTGCAAGGAAGATGGCATGCCCTATGTGGGATTTGGACTTTTCAGGGTGTGGAAGGCTCCCAAGAATGCCATATGCTTAAATCTTTCATAGTGCTGAAGTCATGGCCAAATTGCCAAGAAAATAGATCCCTGGATAATGTCATGACAGTTGTGTTAGTGAAATCAGGAGGAGGAGATAAGACTGAGCAGACAGGGAGATGGGCCTGGGTCACTTCCTGGGCAGTGAGTACAAATAGCACCTGCAGATATTTGCTAAGAAACGTACAAAAAGTCTATTTTTTCAGTCAGGACATATGTAACTGTGGTCCGTGCCTCTCCACGGAAGAAAAAATGCCTGATGGACATTTTGAATAGACTGAAGGCTGCATGGACACTGCGTGCCATGCCCAGGAGTGGGCAGGGGGTTGACTTCCTTAAACCTCTAGATCTATATAAACCCCTAGACAATAGCCACACTTCAGTGTCCCTCTCTGGGACCCCTCCCTCTTGGGGAGCTCTGCTTTCTATTACCCTAATAAATCCTGTTACTTTGCTCTCACTCTTTTGTCCATAGAAGTTCATTCTTTAAATTTTTGAGAGAAAGAACCCAACCCCACGCTCTATGCTACATTAGTAATAATCTTGTTTTCTTTCCAAAAATAATTTAAATCAGAATTTTTGCCTTAAATAAAATCCATTAAATATTTTCATACTCCCAATTTTCTAAATAAAATGCAGATGCATATTTTTCCATGTGTGGAATGTTTATCTCTGGGTCATGAGTTTTAGAATGAATTTTTGCTTTTGACATTTTTTAAGCCTTTAGGCAATGGGATAGATCACTTTTGCAATAGGAAATATCCAATGTTGTCTCAAGGATCAACAGGCTTTTGTTCACCACAACATCACAAAGCACTGGGTAAGAAAGAGGTTAGGAAATACACAGGGAGGTTAGCATAAATACAATGTTACCATTATTTCTTTGGAACTCTTTAATTATATTGTTACAGTAATCAGTGAAAAGGATATAAAACATGGAAATCTTACATCTCCCACCAAACCCAAGTCTGTTTACTCCCCTGCTTGAAAAGGGTCCAATGAATCAAGGACAGTTGTTGGGGTGAGGAAAAATCATTTATTTGCTAAGTCAACAAAACTGAGCTGATGGTGGGCTAGCAGCCTGAAAGACTGCCTTAACTCAGCAGACGCTTGCGCTCCTTTCAATCTTCAGGCAAGGGGGAAAGAAGGGGAGTTAGGTTAGGAAATGACAGGTGACCAGACATCTAGACATCTCTCCAATGGCCCCACACTGGCCACCTGTTGATCATGGAGCTCCTATAAATCCTGAAAATGTCTTAGTTATGCTTATCTTGGTATCATCAGCC